GAGAGAGAGAGAGAGAGAGAGAGAGAGAGAGAGAGAGAGAGAGATCTGCAGCATGCAGTGTGCCAGTGACTGATTGCCCAAGGGCAGGCGCTAACCTTGAAAAAAACAAAAAAAGGCAATTTTCGGATACAGGAGTTTCTTCTTTTTAAAAATCGAATGGAAAACACATGCTTTGTATTCTAATATACGGCATACGTGTTCTATCGAAGTGCCCTTCTATCCGAGAAAGCAGGCCGCTCGCCGTTTCCGTTTTTTTTTTTTTTTTGGCAGGACCATGGCCAATACCGGTCCTGCACCTGTAAGGACGGCCCACCCCCCTAGAAGCCCCTGCCTGCAATTTTAACACCCTTCCAACGACCAATTTGCATTCAGACTCGATTTCTTCTCACTTCGCATACATGCAAACAGATGGAAAACCACACTGGCGCCAGGCGCCCACTCAAACTCAGAGATATTTCGACCGAGAACACAGTTCAAATACAAACTCGCTTTAAACTGGCTATGGCGCCTGAGCGCCCGCACATCACTCGTCCGACACTGTGTCCACCACCACCGTTCGCACACACTCGACTCTGGATCTCCCTGGATATCCCACACTCATACACTCTGCATCACACACACATACGCACACTCTTACCAACACCTATCACTAGCTATGGCAGCTATGACCGCCGGCTACAACTAACTACAAGCAGCGATGGCTGCTCTGACTCCGCCTCAGCCCACTTCGACTTCGGGCATCTGCAGACCACCTCGCACAAGACGCCTGGGCAGCGCTCCCGCATGGCTCACGCAGGAATGAATGAATGGCTGGACGCTGCCTCTTGATTTATACTTCTGTAAGTCGCTGGTCTGCCCCTTTCCACTGGGCCCATGGTGCACACAGTCCCACATGGTACTTGCTGACTGGACAAAGTGAGACTGGGACTGGGTACCGCTGACTAAGCAAAGTTGGACTACCCACTTGCCCACTTGCCTCTGGTCTAACGTGAGAAAAACACGAAAGGCCACTTCCGGACCTTCCGGAAGTCCGTGCACTTGACCTTTCGGGACTGTAGCGGCTATGACTTGACCTTTCAGTGTTGCAACTACTATGACCCCTACACAGGTAGGACCCCTACTTGGACAGGTCTACAGTTCAAAACCCGACAGCTACACAGACCTACGACAGCCTACATTCAGCTACCAAAACACAGGTCGCAGGTTCAAAACACACGGGGGCGACTTAATACTGTACACGGGTGAGGTAAGGTCTAGGGATCGAACCCTGGGATCTGCATTTGTCACTGCAAAGGTGAAAACCGTTTCAAATTGGGCCAAAAGGGAACAACCGTTAGAACCAAACGTTGAAAGTGACTCGAGGGTAATAAACGCAACCCTACAGGCTGCAAATTTTGGTCCAGTAGACCTGAGCTCGAGAAAGTTTCGGATGTAAGCGAAATTACGAATTCATTCATTTTTTTCCCTGCGGAGGATAGTGGCGATTTAATTTATTGAAAGCTCAAAAGGCAGACTGCAGTCTGAGGGAAACCCTGTGGGTAAATTTACAGTTTAGGGCCTTGAGCCCGGGTATCTCACAGTTCTACCTGGAGGAAGTTACTGCGGGGCCGGATTACCCAGCTATGGTTTGAGCTTGAAATAGGGTCCAGCTGCCCATCAGACAGTCGCAACCAGCCTCTTAAACCACCACTACCTGGGCCTCGTCTTCATAGCTAGTTGTCATACCAAATGGAGTAAAGGCAAGCACTTTCAACATTGGCAGTAAGGGGGAACATTCGGACATTGATTCTTGCTCATTCATTCATTATTATTGTTCCCTGTTAATAAAACGACAGACGTGATGATACGATAGAGATTATGGTGGCGAGAGAGAGAGGAAGAATCTGGAAGATGGCATTGGTTCCAGCTTTTCTTCTTCTTCTTCGTCTTCTTCTTCTTCTTCTTCTTCTTCTTCTTCTTCTTCTTCTTCATTGTTGTCGTGATCGTCTTGATCGCCTTCGTCTTCGTCTTCCTCGTCTTTGTCTTTGTCTTTGTCTTTGTCTTTGTCTTTGTCTTCGTCTTCCTCGTCTTTCTCTCCGACTTTGTCTTTGTCTTTGTCTTTGTCTTTATCTTTGTCTTTGTCTTTGTCTTCGTCTTTGTCTTCGTCTTCATCTTCATCTTCGTCTTCGTCTTCCTCGTCTTTGTCTTTGTCTTTGTCTTTGTCTTTGTCGTCGTCTTCGTCTTCGTCATTGTCTTCGTCGTTTCGTCTTCTTAGTCTTCGTTGTCTTCATCTTCATCTTTGTCGTCGTCATCGTCATCGTCGTCGTCGTCTTCGTCTTCGTCTTCGTCTTCGTCTTCGTGGTCTCCGTCTTCGTTGTCTTTGTCTTCGTCTTCTTCGTCTTCGTCTTCGTCTTCATCTTTCTTCTTCTTCTTCTTCTTCTTCTTCTTCTTCTTCTTCTTCTTCTTCTTCTTCATTGTTGTCGTCATCGTCTTCTTCTTCTTCTTCATTGTTGTCGTCATCGTCATCGTCTTCGTCTTCGTCTTCGTCTTCGTCTTCTTTGTCTTCCTCGTCATTGTCTTTGTCTTTGTCTTTGTCTTTGTCTTCATCTTCGTCTTCATCTTCGTCTTTGTCTTCGACTTCGACTTCAACTTCGTCTTCGTCTTCGTTTTCATCTTCATCTTCGTCTTAGTCTTCGTCACCCTCTTCGTCTTGATCTTCGTCTTTGTCTTTCTCTTCATCGTTTCGTCGTCTTCGTCTTCGTCTTCGTCTTCGTCTTCGTCTTCGTCTTCATCGTCGTCGTCGTCGTCGTCGTCTTCGTCTTCGTCTTCTTCTTCTTTGCCTTTCTTCATTTTCTTCGTCTTCTTTGGCTTTCTTCATCTTTTTCGTCTTCTTTGGCTTTCTTCTTCTTCTTCAGCAGTATTATGTTCAAAGGCCTGAATTTTCAGCTGCTGCCCAGATGGCAAAGGCAGCTCGCTCACCCTACGTTCACTCCTTATCATGCTGTGCAAGGGTTCTATGTATATAGAATGTGCACTTAGGGGGCCAGCGGAACCAATGATGAACATATCTAGAGAAAGTAAAGGAAGAGAAAACTGTTTTTTGGTTTGTTTTTTTTCTTTTTCTAAATGAAAACAGGGGTTTATGGTAAGGAAGCAGAGAACTTACTATGATGAACATGGAGTTTTGAATTACCCACCACAAATAAGGGACACACACACACACACACACACACACACACACAAACCAATAAATTATGGTGCAAATGTGTCACCAAAGCGACTAGGAATGCCCAATTCACTTAGTCATAAGAGTGCTACACACATGATTTGATGAAAAACAGACCTGAGTTCGAGCCCCGATGGAATCAGATGTATAACATAACTCTGACCTGGGCCTGGTCAGTTCGATGATGTTTCAATCACCCTTTTACGACACCCTCAGGCAAGTCTTGTTGGTTTACGTATTCCATCCACCATGACCATATCCACCATCATCAGTCCCGTGTTGTTTGAATACCTCAAAGTCGTTGCCCGTCTATGAGGCCTAAAGGCAAGTGTTGTGTACTCAATTTCGAGCTCTACCGCCATATGACCGTATCCACCAAATATGTCGAGTCGTATCGACCTTTTAGGAAGCCAGTCTGAATACTAGCAGAGCTCATTTTTGGACCCAATCTGAGGCTGGATGCGGCAATCAGTGCAGTCCTATGGTTTGTGTCTAAAAGGTATCAAAAAGGACGCTGGGCCCGGTTCGCATCATGTGACACTCCACACAAATAAAACTGGAGCCATCTAAGTAGTGGATCTTCCATCAGGCTTGGGCTCTTATCCCCCCCCTTGTCTGATGAAAGAGCACCCCCTCTTATGTGAAACATATATATATATATATCCGACGAAACAGTTTGTCACAGCCCCTCGTTTGTTGTCCTCTTCTCCCTCTCTGCCTACGGTTTACCGGGCAGTTCTATTTGACGATATATATATATAGCCTCCTGATGAGTCGGTGAAACTCCGACGAAACAGTTTGTCACAGCCCCNCCCTCGTTTGTTGTCCTCTTCTCCCTCTCTGCCTACGGTTTACCGGGCAGTTCTATTTGACGATATATATATATATATATATATATATATATATATATATATATATATATATATATATATAGTTTCGACCCAGGCTGGTTAGCAAAGGAACTCTGTAAAGTGTGTTGATCCACAGGATTGGTGTTCCGATCTGAGTGACCCCCTCTTGTCAATCAGAGCGATGATCCGAATGACATGAGTAGCTGGCAGGGTAGCACCATCCGCCAACTGAGTCCAAAGACCACGAATTACCAACGGGTCTAACCCAGCTCGGTTGGTACACCCACGAACTTTTGAAACACGGACCTGAGTTTGAATCCAGATGCAACTAGATGAATGAAATACCGGAATTACCTGTGGCGGGTCAGCTCGGTGACGACATTTCAAGGCCGACGACCATCGCCCCTTTTATAAAAAGCATTAAGAACCGAGAAAAACACCATGAATTAGGGGGCCAAGAAGTGGTAAATGTTGCCTATACAAAACAGTTGGCAAACCATCAAGATTTTGATACCTTTTTTTTGGTAAGGGAAGAGCTGTAATGACATCGTGAAAAAGAAAATTGGTCCACGGGAAATCCATATGGAACATTTCACAATGATTAGCTTGTTACGGCGATAGTCTTGTCAGGTCATGAGTTCGAGTCCTGCCGTGCCAGGTCATGAGTTCAAATCCTGCATCCGATAGAGATAGAGTAAGGTTAAGACCACTAAAAGTAAAACACAGGTGCTGTCCTACACATGCCACAGGACATACAGGACATGCTCCCATGTCCTTGTTACCAGGTAGTGGGTGTGGCATAAACAGGACCATGCAGTACTCTTGCGCATAGCAACAACCTTCTTCTTCCTTCCCTTACGAGTCCCTCAATTGATTCCCTCATAGATGTGAAGAACGCGGTCGGCAGGATTCGAACCTGCGAGGGCAGAGCCCAACAGATTTCAAGTCTGTCCCATTAACCACTCTGGCACGGCCGCATCCATGACAAAGGGATTGAGATCAACGCTATTATGGTGATCGACATGTCCTCCCTCGACTGCTTGCACAATGGCCCATGCCAAAGAATATTCTGCCGCCCCACTTACACCAGATTCTCTGGGACCAGATTCTCTGACCAGACGGAGCCATCAACAATTGCAAGTCCCTCAACTGAGGAATTTGGGGGGAAAGCTCATACTATCCGCGCAATGGAGATGTTGAAGAAATCTGATGTCTTTCCTTTCGTTTTGGAGAAGAAAAAGAGAGACTAAGAATCCAGGCGAATGGATTCCTGTCACGGGGTGAATGTTTGTATTTTATTTTATTTTATTTTATTTAATTTCTCAATTTATGCGTGTCATCCTTGAGCAGGGGCCAGGGCCGACTAGCGCCGTTTTAAACTGTGTCCGTTTGGTTTTCTATCACGTGTGACAGATTTAGATGGCTACAGGCCATCGATGGACGGGAAATCATGCGGAGTTCCGAATTTTGCAGAGATTCGAACCAACGGGAAAAGTTTTGCCTGTGTACCCTACGCACTTTCATGATTTCTTCTTTTTCTTTAATTGCAGAGATTCGAACAAACGGGAAAAGTTTTGCCTGTGTACCCTACGCACTTTCATGATTTCTTCTTTTTCTTTAAATTCAAAATCACTGTAGCAGCAATGCGTTTTCACAGCTTTCTGAGGGGGGGGGCGAAAACGCATCCCTGCTACAGTACTTCACGTCTTGAGAAGAGAAAAACGAAGTGGTGTGTACGAAGTACTGGACGCAGCCCATTGGCTGAGTCCAGCATGCCTCCAGAAAAAGAGGCGATGAATTCGACGGCTCCCATCCCATTGGCTGCCGGGAGCACCCTAAGCTGAATTTTGCTTTCTTTATCTAGAAGAAAGAGAGGGTTTTTTTCATCTGAAAAAAATGGAAAAAAATGCAGAAACCATTTTTTTAATGCCAAAAGCGGGTCACGCAGCACTGTCTCACGTGTAAAACGAGTGCTAGTCGGCCCAGGCCCCAGGGGCCATGCTAATCTTCCTTCTCTGTATCGTTCCAATTTTAACGGATGTCCCGAAGGACAACACCGGGTGAACGTTGCCTGACCCTTATGAATATATACTCTGTTCTATTCTTGGAAGCAACAGTTAGGTCACTCCTCCATTTGCAAGTCGTTCACAAGTGAGGGATAAAGGCAAAAACCAACACTTCGTTGTTTTCTTTTTTTTCTTCACAAACTCAGATTTTATGAGCAGCCTGCTACCCTAGGGTAGCCCCGGCTGGTTTCAGGTCTATACCCTCTCTCTGCCGAGGCTCCACCTACCTATTGGTGGGGAGCAGCATCTGCTGACAACTGGGGTTAGCGTCCCATAATACATACACATATATTTTTTTCCTGAAGGATACGATAAAGGCACATATTGTAGCCGAGCATTTCACTGCAGTGGAGTGGCAGATAACAATAGATAATCATGACTTGAGGGGGGAAAAAGCGGAAAAAAAAAGCGAGAATCATGAAACTAGGGACTCGAAAGGAATGCTTCTGCGGCAATGTCCCATTTTGGGCCACTTCGGATTTTTTATGTTTGTTTTTCACTTGCCTAAATTCTTGGTTATGAACTGCAAGTTGCTAGGACCCACAGCTGGGGACACAGCATCTGGGTCAGTGGGACCCTCTTTTTTTTTTTCTGAAACAAGTCCGGCGGTGTCACACTTTCAGTTTCCAAAGGGCAAAAAAAACATGTGCGGGCAACTGTGTAGCCGCGCGTTCATTGAATGCACGCTCCGCATTCAGAAATTGAATGCGTTAAACCACCAGTACTTGGCCCAGCGATGGGCCGCGTGCGTGTCCCGTTAACTCGCCGCATTTGAGGGGGGTCGTTCGCATGAACGGCCGGTCGCTGAGAATTGCGACGTAGAAAAGAAAGAACCAAAAAAAAGAAAAAAAAAGAACTACCGAGCGGGGGTCGTGGTCACGCCTGTTCTTGGTGGAATGCTTCTAACTAGTATTTCAGGTAGATTCTGGATGACTATTTTTTCTGCTTTTGTTTTTTTTTTCATTTATCTTAGATTCCCCTGCCAGCGAGGCAGGGCATATCCCGTGATCTACCGAACAGCCCTCGTTGAGGGCATACTCACACTTGCACACAGACAAATGTATCTAAGTTCTAACTAATTTCAGGGCCAAATTCGTGTTTCGTTTTTTTTTCCTTCTTTGAGATTCATTTCTTTGTTTGGTTTTTCCTTATTTTACTTTTGGATTCTGACAGAAACGCCACGGGGCTGATACACCCAAACTAAGACATGCTCACATTAGCACTCAGGAGAATGCATCCAACTGCATTCACATCCACAGCGTTGTTGTTGTTGTTTTTTTTTTGCTGTTTTTGTTTTCCAACTGGTCCCCCCAGCCTCGACCGTCCAGCTACTGGTACTGCCAGGCTTGGCAGGCTCGACATACCGGTCACTGGAGGCTCGGACTTGATAGCTGGGCCAAGTACTGGTGGCTTAACGCGCGTTCAATGAACACGGCTCAACGCGGTGCGTGGGGGTGTTGGCACCCAGGGATCGGGGGGGGGGTGTCGGGAAGGGGCGTGGACACCCCCCACATCCCCATTTTTTAAAAAGAGAAGTAAAAAAAATAGTGAAAATGAAAATAGACAACGAAAAAGAAAATTTCAAAAAACGGAAAAAAACGAGAAAAAAAACTTACCTCTGTGTACTCAAGAGTGTGTCTGTGTGTGTGCTCGCGCCCGCATGTGTGTGTGTGTGTGTGTGTGTGTGTGTGTGTGTGTGTCCCAATGGTGCCAGAATGTTTCGTTGGACCTTCACTGACCGATCAGGAGGTTGAACCCCGACAGTCTGCGCAGGATGTATTTGATTGATGGATAAGGACTCACCACATCACCCACTGTGTGTGT